ACTTGTCTCCAACTTCCCCTTTCCAACCTTCTGCGGTCACTACTGCCTTTTCTCTAACCCACCTTATTCTAACCTTCCTTCTATATACATGTATATCTCCAAGCAGATCTCTTTCGGTGGGAAGTCAGAGGAGTTTGTACAGTGGCTAAACGATGCTCCTCTGGCCAATGGATACTGCCTTGCCACCATATGATTTGCTTTAAAATTACTGCCTTCCAACTTGACCTAAAGGTCAATCAGCGGTAGCCAACCCTCTCCTCAACACTATACCACATTGAAATACTTACAAAGACAAGAAAGCAGACAAAGAGACAAACACATCCAATCAACGCAACAAGAACATTTCAATCAAAATTGCATTGTTACATATTTATCATAGAGTTATGTAAAACTTTTTCTGTCTTGTCATTTCCTACTGGAGCAGCATCAATCGCCCTGCTGGCTCTTTGCCAGATTCTGGGATTTAACATAACTTCCTTTTTTTTTCTAACCGTACCTTTTCTGATCAGCACTTCCTTCCAGCTTCCTTCTAACCTGTCCTTAAGGTCAATCTGCGGAACCCAACCCATCTTCCCTCGGCTCTACAACATTAAAATACCTAAGAAAACAAGAAACACACAAATACGAAGAAAAAACAAGAACAGTCCCTACTTGGTCTTCCTTGCTAACTTCCTGTTGGCTCCCAGCTTCCGTGACGTATCTAAAGTTCCCCCTTTCTATCCTTTTGCGACCTGACCCAAAGGTTTAATTAGTGGTACCTAACCCTCTCCTCACCACTCTACCACATAAAAATACCTTCAAATACAAGCATACATACATACAGACACAAACACACCCAAACAACGTTAACACAACAAGAACATTCCCTACTTGGTTTTCCTGATGCTCCTCCCGTACTGTCAAGTCTCCCCACATGAACGACCTCTCGGCTTGCCTGCTCGGCATAGAAACCTGCGGATGGAAATTATGATTAGTGACACTGATTGGATAATGATCATGATTACTTTCAAGATAAATATATATTGTAATGCAAAGGCTGTGGAAGACGAAATACACTTTATCTCAAATTGTTCCTTTCATAGCAACGCTCGAAATGAGTTAACTATTCAAACTTCTACAATTTATCCCAATTTTACTAAACTTACGGACCAAGAAAAAACTATTCTTCTTGTAACTTCCCAAAACCCACTGATTTTAGAAAAGGTGGGACATTACATCTTCCATGGTCTAAAAAAGAGAAGTCAAACCCCTTAGACATAGTTTTAGACATAGCTATAGCTCTAGACAACTACCTTTTATCATGTAGATTTTAGTTATTTTATACTACGTTTCATTGTCCTTTTATGTTTGTAATCTGCAATTAGCCCCCCGGGTATGAATTGGCAATAAAACTTCAGTGATAAAAGTTTGTTGAAGGCCTTAGGAGCAATGTGTTGTTGACCAATGTGTCTAAGGCATGGAATACACCGATCCGAATGGGTCTATTCTACTGCTTTTCTCCTCCCAACTTAAGTCATGTGCGCATTCTACACTTGGGTGGAGGAGGAAAGCCGTAATGTGTCTTTCCTAAGGGCACAAAGTATAGCCAAGAAATAAAGGACGGGTGGGAGTTTTGATACTGCGTTTTTTAGAGGTTTTAACGCACCTGCCCGGAGCCTGCACAAGAGGCTATAGCTAGCGTCGAAAAAATCCATGTACATCATCAGAACACTTCAAAAGACGAAATCTACTAACCTTAGCCTCTGTTGTTGTCGCCGGCGGTGCATTGCCGATGTCTCTTGTCGCCGCCGATGTTGGCCGGCTAGTCTTGTGTCTAGGTTTGCGTCGCCTGCTCCGGGTCCGCCCGGTTAAGTCCCTCCGTGGCCCCAAATGGTCGCACCGGGTCGTCCAGGCGGTTTTCGTCGGGCCGTGAGGCGACCTGCCCCGAAGGAACAGCCTTATGCTGCCCGATGAGGAAGTAGACATCGCTCTGAAGCGAGAAAATCAACGCAGATAAGTGTAAATAAATTACGGGTACATAGAAAAGGTGCTCTCCAAACAGAGTTTTAGGCTTCGGCTTATTTTTAAAGTGTTTTCAGACGTTTTTAGCAGGCTTTCTGTTTGTACCGGAATCGGTGTGTCAAATGTATACTGCCCTGCCAATGACTATGTCTTGCCAATTTGATACTCTCTTCCAGCGATCAAAATATTTGCCTGGAGTTTAGCTTGGCCCTTTCGCCTCTCAGCCCAATACATTGCACACAGCAAATAAGTGCAAAACAATTACATGTAAACATACTAAACGTTAGAAAGCGTGTGTCTCACAAAATTGTAGACTATGGGACAAAAACAGACTTATAAACATAAGAAATTGCAGCATTTTCAACATGGTTAGAATTCAAAGACTGGGCAGAAAAAAAACTTACGTGTGCTGCACACCTGCGAACACCTGTAAATGCCGTCTGCAGGTGTTGTTGTGAGTTATATATTATAAGGCGCACAGAAGTGACCCGCTCCAAGCTCTGCGTTTCCTGGTTCGAGTTTAACCCACAAATATTGTTCCCTGGATGGACAGATGCTTTTATAATGACGCTGTAAACAATGGTGGGCCAACATAGGTTATTCCCCTACTACTGTACCTACACGTTATGGGCTAAAAATAGGGGTCGTGTGGTGTAGTGGCAGAGTGCGCGGCTCGGAACCTAGAGGTCCCGGGTTCGAGTCCTGACATGCCACCGATCTTGTGCCCTTGGGAAAGGCACTTTATATGACTTTCCTCACTTCTCTCAGGTGAAAATGAGTATTGTCCTGTCATGTATTTGTCCCCTGTGTTGATGGCGGCATTAATATAATTATAAGTTGAAAAAAAACTTGAGTGTGCCGTCACCACGTCTGGTGATTACATGTTGGAAAAAAAAAACACATGACGTCCATGGGTCTCGGCTCAATTGGGCCATTATAGGTTATTCCCCTACTGCATGTACCTTCGCGGTAACCGTCTAAAAAATAACACAAGGCGCCCGCCGGTCTCGGCTCAATTCATACCAAGAGCTATTTATTGTTATTGATTAACCCGTATTATTGGTAGTAACGAACCAGCTGGTAGACTAGTACAGTGGCTTCCTACTGGGAGACGTAGAGTGGGACGTCCTTATACTACACTTATGTCCATGCTAGAGAGAGACACTGGTCTCGCAGGGACTGCATTAGTGCCCGCTATGAGAGATATATAGGACTTACTGGAGTAACTTTATCAAGTACACATCACCGGATTAGTATAATCCGGAGGCATGATGATAATGATGATTTGTTTGCCGACTACTCTACTTTTATTGCAGCCAGGCCTAAATGGCAAGCTATTAAGCAACCAACAGAAACGTAATTTTGTGTGGAAGACGAGATCGTATGTATCGATTTGTACCTAAGTGTGGGGTCGTATGGCGTAACGGCAGAGTGTTCGACTCGGATCCAAGAGGTCACTGACATGCCACCGATCTTGTGCCCTTGGGAAAGACACTTAACACGACTTTCTTCAGTTTCCCCGAGTGAAATTAGTATTGTCCTGTCCTGTATTTGTTCTCTGAGTTGGTGGTGGCATAAAATAAGTTGATATAACTTGAGTGGTTTGTCACCATATCTAGTCACCATATCTAGTCATGAAATGTTCGGAAATATGAAAAAAAATAAATTAATAGTAAGCGATCATAAATACAGAGAATTATTCTGACATTTTGTCATGGAATAAATAGAATAAAATTTCAGCTCCTAGATCGGCAGACAACGTTACGAGTTACATATTATAAATGACAACAACGATAAACACAACGTAAATATAATCAAATGACGATAGTCAAATAATATATATCGACTACAAAAAAGCCATCTTGTCGACAACCAAAGAAGTGGGAGGGGGTCTTGGGCGTCTCTACTGAATGTGTATACGGCAGAGTTGGAGCATGCGCACATGTTTGTAAAATCACGTGATTACATCACGAGTTCTCTCCACGTGTGAATAGATGTGTTTGATCTCCTGCTTACCAGCACAGAGTACCTTTTTTTCCACGAAAATAAGTCTGGCTCTTGCATAAAAATTAGCTGCTATTGCATCACCTCATACCACGTCATTCTTCCAAATAAGGGTAAAAGTAACCATACCTCGTCAGACCAATTAAGGTATTATTTTATATATTCATGGATTTTTGCACAGCTATACACTGCGTGACAATACAGTCTACGGCCTTCTGAATTTATTTTATTTACCTTATTTTGAGTAAAAATAGCGATTGTAGCTTGAAAACCCAAATCCCCAACTGACAGTTCCAAAAAGAACACTCGGGTTCTACATGTTCCGACAGCGGAAGGATTTGGAAGATTCCATTGATGCATGAAGGTATAGACTATTGGAACACTTTACATTTTGGACAGGGGTAATTTAGGAACAGTCCATTTCGTGCAGGAGAGGGAAAGGTCCATTTTTGGTACGGGGGACGTGTTGAAGTCATTTGTTGCATTTGCTCCCGAGCAAATGTCGGCCTTTCCAGTTATCATATGATTTTGTACGCATGGTGCTAGCAGGTTTGATTTTGTAGATATTTAGAAATTATGAATAGAAAATGATCACGTTTTTACCCCATCTAGGAAGTTTCTAGTAGTCTGTCTTTATTCTTTCTTAATTTTATCTTCATTCTCTTTAGCTTTATTGAGATTCAAGACAATACAAATGCTGGCTCTATGCAGCTACCACATTAGGGTAAACACAACTTAAATACAATCAAATAACGTTAACGATAAATAGCATCAGATATATCGTATACAAAATAGCTATTAAATTGTCGACAACCAAAGAAGTGGGCTTGGGCGTCTCTACTGAATCTGTATACGACAGAGTTGGAGCATGCGCACATGTTTGTAAAATCACGTGATTACATCACGAGTTCTCTCCACGTGTGAATAGATGTGTTTGATCTCCTGCTTACCAGCCCAGATTACCTCTTTTTCCACGAAAATGAGTCTGGCTCTTGCATAAAAACAAAATGCTATTGCATCACCTCATGCCACGTCATTCTTCTGAATAAGAGCCTTACTCCGTCAGACTAATCAAGGTATTATTCATGATTTGTTCAGTTATAGTATACACAGGTACTGCGCGACAATACAGTCTGCACAGTACGGTCGAAATGTACGAGCAGGCAGAGCCTGTCCGGTCGCCTTTCTCCGGCCCCGACAGCCCCCAACCCAGCGAGCCGCCACCCCAACCCAGTCCCGTCCGTCAGAGTGGTTCACGCGGGCGTGCCCGCCATGGCAACGGTGCTTCGGACAAGCAGCGGGAAGACCAGGACACGTCTTCACACACGTACGAAAACGCCGAGGAGGCGAAACGTTACGCAACGTCTGCAGGTAACCGGCGCTTTTCACACCTGCCTTTTACAGTGGATATTTGTACAATCAGAAGAAAATCAACCTTTAGGGTACCCTGGGGGCCATCCTCGTTGGGCGAGTTAGTAAACGCGCGCGGGCCCTGGATAGCCCGTCCCCGGCACACGCCCTCCCCGCCCTACGCTGGGCACCACATGCGGAAACCCTCTAGGCCGCGCGCTGAAACCACATGCGGAAACCCTCTAGGCCGCGCGCTGATAGTAATTACGCAAACCCCCTAGGTCCCCCGCCAAAACGCCCGCGCGCGTTTACTAACTCTCCCCGACGCCCAACGAGGATGGCCCCCAGGGTACCTTTAGGGAGGGTATATTACTTATCGACTATTGCATAGCTTGCTATATGGATAAATTTGATGCAACAAGAAATCCCTCCAATCTTAACGGTACGCCCCGCATGTAAAATTCATCAGCAGGGTATCTGTATCGGTATAGCCGGTATAACCGCCCTTCGGCGTAACACAGGCGGCGCGGCGGCAGCTAGCTAGATAGCTAGATTCTTGTTCTTTTCTGGGCTGGTATCAGATACTTTGTGGTTGGTACTTTCATCAGTTTATTAGTCATTTTGTACATCATGCACAGTCTGGACATTCTACGTCTGTCTCCCAGTGACCCCCACTGTAGGTTTCTTTTTATTTCCGTTACACTAGCACCCCTTTGATGGTTCGTGCAGAATCTTGCAGCTTGATTCTGTACCCTTTCCAGTTTATCTTTGTCTTTCGTTGTAAATGGATTCCATACTGTCGCGGCATATTCTAGGTTTGGTCTTACAAGCGACGTGTAAGCAAGTGATTTTACCCATGTTGGACATGACCACAGATTCCGCCTAATAACTCCCAATGTTTATTTGTCCTTCGCAGTGATGTTGTTAACATGGGTGCCCCACTTAAGGCTACTTGTCAATGTAACACCGAGATACGGATGTTTTTTTGTTGTTGCCAAAGCTTGACCACAGAACAGATAGCTAGTTATATGTGGGGTTCGTTTGTTTGATATATGCATAATGTAGCATTTTCTGGGTTGAACTGCATAAGCCATTTGCTTTGCCATTCTTCCAGCGTGTTCAGATCTTTTTGTAGAAGGTGTGAGTCATTCTGTGTAGAAAGCTCTACATACAACAGACAGTCATCGGCAAATAATCTCACCTTTGAATCAAGCTGATCTGGTAGGTCATTAATATACAAGAGGAATAGCAATTGTCCAAGGACAGTTCTTTGCGGAACTCCTGACGCTACTCTAAATGGAGCCGAAGCCTTCCCTCCCACCACTACTGTTTTCTCCCTGTTGGTTAGAAAGGCTTTTAACCAATTTAGAGTTGTTCCTTGGATTCCATAGTACTGCAGTTTTGAGATGAGCCTACCATGGGGAACTTTGTCGAACGCTTTTGAGAAGTCAAGTATCGCTAAACTATTTCCTTTTTCCTGTTCAGTGCACCAGCTATGTCATAAACTGTTACTATGAGTTGTGTTTCTGTGGATCGCTTAGCTCTAAATCCATGCTGGTAGTCCGTCAATATGTTGTGACTTTCTAAATGCTTCATCACTTCGTTGTGGACGATGTCTTCAAGCAGTTTACAGGACACACAGGTCAGTGAAACAGGTCTGTAGTTGCTGGGTACCGCTCTATCTCCCTTTTTGAAAATGGCGCAAATATTTGCATCCCTCCAGTCTTTAGGTATCTCTCCGATGTTCAACGAGTGTTGAAAAATATTGGTTGACACAGGTGCGATTTCAATAGCTGTCATTTTCAGGAGCCAGGGTGCTATTTGGTCTGGACCGCATGCTTTAGATGGGTTGAGACCCTCAAGCATTTTTTCCACGCCAACAAAAGAATATTTTATGTCTTCCATGGGAGGAGTACATGGCTGACCCAGAGATGGCATATCTGTTGTGTCTTCTTCGGTGAAAACGCTTTTGAATTGTGAGCTGAGTGCTTCTGCTTTTTTCCCCCACTGTCACTGATGATGGTATTTCCCACCTTTAGGGGTGCTACCCCGATAAGGTCTATCCTTAGTCCTTTTATGTACGACCAGAATGTTTTGGGTTTGTCAACTATAGCTTCTCCGAGTATGTCTGCCACATATTTTGAGTGCTTTTCTGAACCCCCTTCTTAACTCTCTTATATTTGTTCCAGTCTTTGTCTTGTTCTGTTTTCTTAGCTTTGTTATAAAGGCGCTGTTTCTTACGACAATGTTGCCTTAGATTTCTGTTAAACCAGGGCAGGTTGTATCGGCTTGAAGTCATTTTGCTTGGGATGTGCCTGTTCATAGTAAGTTCCATCTTGCCTTTGAAGTCTGCCCACTTCTGTGATACTGACATGTCCTCTGTTCTTTTGTCAAAGTTATTGGCATATATAGTCCGTGAGATCTTTCGTGATGGCTGGTTCATCGGCTTTTGTGCGAATGTAAACTTTTCTCTTGGGTTTCCTGTTTTGTTTCGGTGCCAAGTTAACATCCACCAGAACCATGTCATGGTCACTTAACAACTGTAGTCTTTTCAATTATATTGGGGTTATTACCCAAAACCAGATCCAAAAGGTTACCATTTCTAGATGCTTCTTGCACTGTTTGGGATAACCCGTGGTTATCCATTAGGCACAGAAGTTTCTCTGCTTGACCTGTGTGGGTCTGAGTGTTGTCAGTTGTACTAATGCCCCAATTGATGCCTGGGGTGTTGAAGTCCCCAAGTATGATCCCATTGTCAGAGTTTACTTTAGCTCCCAATTTACCTATAGACCTGTCAAGTTCATCCAGACTATTGCCCTGGTCTGATGGGGGTCTGTAGTATGTACCTATTATCAGTTGTTTTCTTCCTACAAGTTGAGTTTGTGTCCACAGAAGCTCGCAGTCTGTGTCTAGGTCTGGCCTATGGGTAACAATTAGATCATCCCTGTAAGCCTGAAATACACCACCTCCTTGGCCAGTTTGTCTGTCTTTCCGGTGTGCTATGTAGTTGCTGGGGAATATTTCACTACTTGCTATGTTTTGGTTGAGCCATGACTCTGTACCTGCTACTATATCTGAATTGTAAGTGTCAAGTACTGTCGCCAGTTTAGATGTTTTGTTCCGCACACTCTGGCAGTTTACTAGGAGAATTTTACTTTTGGATCTCTTGTGACTATAACCCCACATTTGAGAATTATCCAGCTTTGGTTCCCGCACCGGTGGGCATTTGGTGCGATGGAATCCCCAGCTTCATAAAGGCAGCAACGGGACTTAAGAAGTCATGGTGTTTCTGATATCAGTCCTAAAACATACGGTCATTAGGTGTGTGTGTATGTAGGCATATGTATGTATGTATGTATGTATGTGAGTGTGTGTGTGTGTGTGCATGCGTGTGTGTGTGTGTGTGTGTGCGTGCGTGCGTGCGTGTGTGTGTGTGTGTGTGTGTGTGTGTGTGTGTGTGTGCTTGTGTGATGCGTGTGCGGACGTGCTTGTATGTTGGTCTGGCATTAAACTAGTGTATTCATTCATTAACATGTATTAAATAATTACCCGAGCGAAGCATGTAAGCATGTTTTTTTCCTACCAGATGGCGGATATCCGGGTGGAGCGAGCGGCCGCCGTGGTGTCTGTAGTTTCCTCCGCGCCCGCCGCAGCTTCCTCGCCGCCGGCATCGCCGTGCTGCTTAGCCTGTGCGCTGTGGGACTCGCCCCTTTGACGTTCAGCAACAAACAGGTAACGGTCTTATACCAGAAAGCTTTTGTTAGGCTGTTTTTCTTATTCTCATTCTGCTTTTAAGGAGGGTACAAGAAAGAATTATCTGCAGTTTTTGGTAAGTTTGCTTCTTACGTTTGGTATTCTGACGTACGTATATACCTTTGTAGGAAATATCGCAATTGAAACGCGACCAAGACGGCATGTCCACCACTGTTGACGCCCTGAAAAGCGACCAAGACGCCTTGAAGCGCGACCAAGACGGCATGTCCACCACTGTTGACGCCCTGAAAAGCGACCAAGACGGCATGTCCGCCACTGTTGAGGCCTTGAAGCGTGACCAAGACGGCATGTCCACCGCTGTTGACGACGTAAAACGCGACCTGGACAACGAGCGAAGCCGAATCGCCACCTTGGAGCAGCGTCTTCATAAGATTGAGAAGACTTTACGTAATTATAAATTGCGTTTTAATCTGTTATGTTTTCCCTTTATGTTGGTCTATTTGAAAACGTCATTTGTTGAAAAAAACAGGTAATGCAGGTCACTATTTCATTACATGTGTGAGTGGGGGGGGGGGGTAGTCCATTTTAAATATTCGTATATCGAATATATCCCGGGGGTTGATTTATTGCATGTATTTAATGATATTCATATGACCCGTCTATGACAGGTTGCTAATATAAACATTATTTTCCAGCATCTTGCCCCAAAGGGTTACACAATCTGGCGTGACATCTGCTACAAGGCATTCAACACACTCAAGACCTTCCGCGACGCGGCCGCGGCCTGTCGTGCAGACGGCGGCACCCTCGCCATGCCCCGAGACGCCGAGACCAACGCCTTCCTCATCTCCCTGTACAACTCCGTGAGCGACACGGATGCCTTCTGGATCGGCCTGCACGATCAGAGCGAAGAGGGAAAGTTTGAGTGGGTGGACGGTTCTGCACTTGGGCCGTACACCTCCTGGGGTCCGGGACAGCCGACCGGCACCAAATATGGGGGCGACTACGATTGCGTCCTTTACTCCGCACTGCCATCTCGGAAAGACAAGTGGAGCGACGACGGATGCCACAGGACGTTTCGCTTCATATGCCAGGCTGCTCAAGGTACTTATTATATCCTCACTATTTTCTGAAACCCTTCCATCCGGTAAACACAGCACAGAATAAGCGGCAGACCATCATTGCTCCTGTTACAAACCAAGTCTTTACTAAATCGTTCCACAGCTCATCCCTGATAATTCTAACCTTTTGTTTTTCAGAACGTCCATAGGCGACTGTCGAGAGTCTCACCACTGCTGTATAGCTGCTGTAGTACAACTTAAGACCGGCAATTATAGCATTGTTTTAGATCAACAGTTTTCTACAAAAGTTGAATCCGCAAAGTAGAAATACTGAATGGAACGGAGCAGTTCTGTACAATGGTAGTCACGCTTGTTTTCATATGGAACATTTGTCAACACATTTAGTCAAGACACACAATGTCCTTCTGAAGGCAGAACCATATCAAGTTTACTTGATAGAAATGAGTGAAACATTCAGATGTAAGTTTTCCTGAATATGTGGAAGGTAGCAGGTTTAGGGATTGTGATTCTGTGGTAGAAGTAGACGCTGTGCCAATAGAACTTTTACATTTTATTGGTTTTTACTTTTGTTATTATTGTTACTTATTACTATACAATGTACAGGCACACAATGTCCTTCTGGTGGCAGAATTATAGAGAGTGTATTTTGTAAAACATTGGAAATACTCGAATTGAGTGAATTTGGGAGACAACAACTTGAGCAAGTCTTAAGAAATAGCGGTTCTGTCACAGAAGTACACGGTGTACCAATATAACATTCATAATTTTATTACTTATTACATGTATTACTTTTTACTTATTTAGTCAAGGCACAGAATGTCCTTCTGATGGCAGAATCATATCAAGTTTACTTAATGAAAATAAGGGCAACATTCAGATGTAACTTTTCTTGAATATTTTAAAAGTAACAAGTTTAGAAATGGTGATTTTGTGGTAGAAGTAGACGCTGTGCCAATACAATATTCATATTTTTCATTACCTCTATCAATATTGTTATTCATAACGACACATTGTACAGATGCAAAATGTCCTTCTGAAGGCAGGATCATTGAAGATTATTTGGTAAAGAACGGGCAACACGTGTTTTTAATGTTTGGAAGACAAAAAGTATTTTCAAAAGTTGGATCCGTAACAGAGGTGAACGACGTACCAATATAACATGCACAGTTTTATCACTTATTAGTACTTATTGTAGACAAGGTACCGAATGTTCTTCTGATGACTTAATCATATCACGTTTACTTGGGAAAAATTTGGCAACACTGGAATTGAGTGAACTTTGGTAAGAAAACACCTGGAACAAGTCAGAAATGATGGTTCTGTCGTGGAAGGAAAGGCTTACGGTGCCAATATAACGTGTTATTAGTAAGAAGCATATACGTATAGGATTTAATCGCCAGTATGTAAAAGAATTTCAAGTAAAAGAATTTCAATTGTACATCAACGACATCAGTAGATTTGTAATTGTCGTGTTATATGGATGTTTGACGGAGCAATTGAAGGACCTGTGACATTAAATATGGCTGTAACCATGTAACAGTTTAACACCACTGTAACGACCAAGTGTAACAATTTAATATCACTGTAGCACTCAAGACTGAAACAATGTAAAGCTTAATATTACTGTAACAATCTAGACTGTAACAATGTAACAGTTCGTTACCACTGTAACAATTACGATTGTAGCAATCTAACACTGGTATTAATATATATTATTATAACGACTGTTACAATGCAACAGTGTAACAATCAAGGCTGTAACAATGCAACAGTTTATAACCACTGTTAAATCTGCTGCCTGTAATTGAGACTGTTAAGACTGCTTAAGATTTTGCACTTTTTGGTGGTTTCTACAATAAAAAAGAACTGTTGTGGTTCAATGCGCATCTGTAATTTTTTAAACTGTGTGCCAGTGTAACAGGATGTTTGGTGTGTTAGTTCTTTCTTTTTATTCTCATTTTCTTTATTCAGATTGCAGCAAGACAAAACAGCGCTGGCACTAGGCAACTAACACATATATCATACATATTGCAACAAGGGTAAACACATTCAACGTAAATACACTAAAATAAACATAAATAGCATCAGATATACCGGATAAAAAATAAGATTTTGTAGACAACTACAGAAGTGTGTTGGGGGGGGGGGCATCTCTGGTACATGTATATATGGCAACGTTTGTGTACATGCGCACATGTCTGTAAAATCACGAGATTGCCAGGCAGGATTAATTCTTCTTCCACGAAAATGAGTCTGCTTCTTCTAGAAAAACAAAATGCAATACGAAAGACGTCATACCACGTCACCACTCCTAATACGGGCAAGGTATCCTTCCTTCTTCAGACTAATCGTGGCGCCCTTGTGAATATGCACGCGCCTTGACGTTGGTTGTTGTACTGCGTACCTGCTGTCTGCACAGTCGAAATGTACGAGCAGGCAGAGCCTGTCCGGTCGCCTTTCTCCGGCCCCGACAGCCCCCAACCCAGCGGGCCGCCACCCCAACCCCTTCCCGTCCAGCAGAGTGGTTCACGCGGGCGTGTCCGCCACGGCAACGGCGCTTCTGACAAGCAGCAGGAAGACCAGGACACGTCTTCACACACGTACAAAAACGCCGAGGAGGCGAAACGTTACGCAACGTCTGCAGGTAACCGACGCTTTTCTGACCTGTTTTTTACAGTGGATATTTGTACAAGCAGAAAAAACTATTCCTGTAGAGAAAGTATATGAACACTTTTCGTCTTTTGTATTGTACTTCACTGTATGGGTAAATGACAACAAGAAATCCATCCCTTACTCAAAGTTCCTTATATGAAATTCATTAGCAGGATACTCGAACGTTCTTGCAACTGTGCACATTTGGTGCCGTGGTGTGTGTGTGTGTGTGTGTGTGTGTGTGTGTGTGTGTGCGTGTGCATGAGCATGTGTGTGTGTATGTATGTGCGTGTGTGTTGATGTGACATTAAACTCGAATATTCATTCATTACACGTTGATTCGGAACGTCCATGTAAAAAAAAATAGCCCGAGCGAAATACTAGTATGTTTTTCCTACCAGACGGCACGTATTCGGGTGGAGCGAGCGGCCGCCGTGGTGTCTGTAGCTTCCTCCGCGCCCGCCGCAGCTGCCTGCTGGCAGCCGGCATCGCCGTGTTACTTGGCCTGGTCGCCGTGGGACTCGCCCCTCTGACGTTCAGCAACAAACAGGTAACATTCTAGTACCACAAAGCTTGTTCGAGTTTTTTTTCTCTGATTCTCATTCTGTTTATATAAAAAATGACTTTTTTTGCAGGTTTTCGTAAATATGCTTCTTACATTCGGTATTTTGAAGCGCGTATAAAATATGTTTTCAGGAAATATCTCAATTGTCGACGACTGTCAAACGAGACTTGCGCCAACTGTCCACCACGGTTGACGCCCTGAAGCGCGACCAAGCTGCCTTAAAGCGCGACCAAGACGCCTTGAAGAGCGACCAAGACACCTTGCGCCGACTGTCTGCCCCTGTTGACGCCTTGAAGCGCGACCGAGACACCTTGCGCCGACTGTCTGCCACTGTTGACGCCTTGAAGCGCGACCAAGACGCCTTGCGCCGACTGTCTGCCACTGTTGACGCCTTGAAGCGCGACCAAGACGACGTGCACCGACTGTCCGCCACTGTTGACGCCTTGAAGCGCGACCAAGACGGCATGTCCACCACTGTTGACGACTTGAAACGCGACCTGGTCAACGAGCGAAGCCGAACCGGCACTTTGGAGAAGCGTCTTCATGAGATTGCGAAGACTTTACGTAATTATAAATTGCATTTTAATCTGCTATGTTTTCCCTTTATGTTGGTCTATTTGAAAACGTCATTTTTTTCTTAAAAACAGATGATGCAGGTCACTGTTTCATTATGTGTAAGTGTGTGTGTGTGGTGGGGGGGGGGTAGTACATATTAGATATTCGTATATGGAATTCATCCCGGGGGTATTTATCGCATGTATATAATGATATCAATATATGACCCATCTATAACATGTTGCTAATATAAACCTTCTTTTACAGTATCTTGTCCTGAAGGTTACACAATCTGGCGTGGAATCTGCTACAAGGCCTTCAACACAGGCAGGTCCTTCAGCGATGCGGGCGCGGCCTGTGGTGCAGACGGCGGCACCCTCGCCATGCCCCGAGACGCGGACACCAACGCCTTCCTCATCACCCTGTACAACTCCGTGTGCAAGAGTTGTGCCTTCTGGTTCGGCCTGCACGATCAGGGCGAAGAGGGGCGGTTTGAGTGGGTGGACGGGTCTGCACTTGGGCCGTACAGCTCCTGGGGTCCTGGAGAACCGAACGACGTCAGGCGTGGCGAAGATTGCGTCGTTTACTCCGGAATGCCATTTCTGAAAGACAAGTGGAACGACGAAAAATGCCACGAGAAGTTTCGCTTCATATGCCAGGCTGCTCCAGGTATCTATTATATCCTCACTATTTTCTGAAACCCTTCCATCCGGTAAACACAGCACAGAATAAGCGGCAGACCATCATTGCTCCTGTTACAAACCAAGTCTTTACTAAATAATTCCACAGCTCATCCCTGATAATTCTAACCTTTTGTTTTTCAGAACGTCCATAGGCGACTGTCGAGAGTCTCACCACTGCTGTATAGCTGCTGTAGTACAACTTAAGACCGGCAATTACAGCATTGTTTTAGATCAACATTTTTTTTTACAAAAGTTGGATCCGCAAAGTAGAAATACTGAATGGAACGGAGCAGTTCTGTACAATGGTAGTCACGCTTGTTTTCATATGGAACATTTGTCAACACATTTAGTCAAGACACACAATGTCCTACTGAAGGCAGAATCATGTCGAGTTTACTTGATGAAAATGAGGGAATCATTCAGATGTAAGTTTTCCTGAATATTTGAAAGGTAGCAGGTTTAGTAATGGTTATTCTTTTGTAGAATTAGACGCTGTGCCAACAGAACATCTATATGCTTATAATTTATTGGTTTTACTATTGTTATTATTGTTACTTATTACTATACAATGTAAAGGCATACAATGTCCTTCTGGTGGCAGAATCATAGAAAATGTATTTTGTAAAATATTGGCAACACTCGAATTGAGTGAATTTGGGAGGCAACAACTTGACCAAGTCTTAAGAAATAGCGGTTCTGTCACAGAAGTACACGGTGTACCAATATAACATTCATAATTTTATTACTTATTACATGTATTACTTTTTACTTATTTAGTCAAGGCACAGAATGTCCTTCTGATGGCAGAATCATATCAAGTTTACTTAATGAAAATAAGGGCAACATTCAGATGTAACTTTTCTTGAATATTTTAAAAGTAACAAGTTTAGAAATGGTGATTTTGTGGTAGAAGTAGACGCTGTGCCAATAATATATTCATATTTTTCATTACCTCTATCAATATTGTTATTCATAACGACACATTGTACAGATGCAAAATGTCCTTCTGAAGGCAGGATCATTGAAGATTATTCGGTAAAGAACGGGCAACACGTGTTTTTAAATGTTTGGAAGACAAAAAGTCTTACGAAAAGTTGCATCCGTCACAGAGGTAGACGACGTACCAAAATAACATGCACAGTTTTATCACTTATTAGTACTTATTGTAGACAAGGTACCGAATGTTCTTCTGATGACTTAATCATATCACGTTTACTTGGGAAAAATTTGGCAACACTGGAATTGAGTGAACTTTGGTAAGAAAACACCTGGAACAAGTCAGAAATGATGGTTCTGTCATGGAAGGAAAGGCTTACGGTGCCAATATAACGTGTTATTAGTAAGAAGCATCTAAGTATAGGATTTAATCGCCAATATGTAAAAGAATTTCAAGTGAAGGAATGTCAATTGTACATCAACGACATCAGTAGATTTGTAATTGTCGTGTTATATGGATGTTTGACGGAGCAATTGAAGAACCTGTGACATTTAAACATGGCTGTAACCAAGTAACAGTTTAACACCACTGTAACGAACAGGGCTGTAACAATGTAATACCACTGTAGCACTCAAGACTGAAACAATGTAAGAGTTTAACACTACTGTAACGACCAAGTGTAACACTTTAATACCACTGTAGCACTCAAGATTGAAACAATATAAGAGTTTAATACTACTGTAACAATCTAGACTGTAACAATGTAACAGTTCGTTACCACTGTAACAATTACGATTGTAGCAATCTAACACTGGTATTAATATATATTATTATAACGACTGTTACAATGCAACAGTGTAACAATCAAGGCTGTAACAATGTAACAGTTCGTTACCACTGATAAATCTGCTGTCTGTAATTGAGACTGTTAAGAATGCTTAAGATTTTGCACTTTTTGGTGGTTTCTAAAATAAAAAAGAACTCTTGTGGTTCAATGCGCATCTGTAATTTTTTAACTGTGTGCCAGTGTAACAGGATGCTTGGTGTGCTAGTTCTTTCTTTTTCTTCTCATTTTCTTTATTCAGTTTAATATCAATGTAACAACTATAACAAGACTATAACAATGTAACAGTTTTACTACCACTGCAACAATCAAGACTTTAACAATGTAACAGTTTTAATACCACTGTAACAATCAAGACTGTAACAATGTAACAGTTTAATACCACTGTAACAATCAAGACTGTAACAATGAAACAGTCATTAATATCACTGTAACAATCAAGACTGTAATAAGGTAACAGTTTAATATCACTTTTAGATGCTGTAATAAGTTATAATTTAGAGCTATCGGGGTGTCTATCATCTTACGTCGATGAAGGTTAGACATCCAGGTAATACAATACGCCAAAAAGCAGTTACTCAAGCAACTGGATATGATTTTGGAAACGGTAAGACGTTTCAGCTTAGTAAGTATCCACTAGCTTTCGTCAGTGACTTGTCTTCACTTTATTTGCATATCAATCAATAGTTTGTGCTTATAAACCTACAATTCTCCTCTGGTCTCTCACTCACTGACGAAAGCTAGTGGATCTTCATATCCAGTTGCTTGAGTAACTGCTTTTTGGTGTGTGTATCATCTTACTTCATGACGGGACCTAACGAAAATACATGTATATTCAACCCGTTGGAAGTGGTTTGAACACCTTTATTTCGTGCGATATCGTAAAGACCTATGCGTAAATAACTACTGTGGCTTCATTATAACTTTGAATGTATATTGACGAGATTTTAATAGGCACAACAAAAAGTACAGGTACTTTCGTATGGTCTTCTACAACTAAAGATCTAACGAAGTTAACTAAGCTAACAAGCCCAACAATGTATATTGACGAGTTTTTTAATTGGCCCAACAAAAAGTACAGGCACTTTCGTACGGTCTTCTACAACTAAAGATCTAACGAAGTTAACTAAGCTAACAAGCGAGTTTAAATAAAGGCTTACTACTACTACTACTACTACTACTATATGTATGAATAAAGCCATTCTACGTACAGGATATATATATATGTTAGCAAAAACAATAAAGTTTTAACCATACTTATAAATGATAAAAAAAAAATATCTCGAGTTCTTCCCTAAAGTTGTCCTTCTTGTAGTAACCATCTACCTATCGATCTATCTATTTATCTACCAAGGATGTATACACGTATATATGGAGTATTAGCTATTAGTAAGTAATACTGGTAACATTGTCATTGCCAATGTTAATCACTATATCATCTAAAGGGAACAACAGATCTAGTCCTAAGTTACATCAATAGATACATGGTGTAAAACAAGTCAGGCAAAAAGTCGTTGAAGAGATTCATTTGTCACGTATATACGGGTGGGGCCCGGCAGACCGATGCAAGTCTCGGGCCTAGTCTCGCGCTCTCACGAGATTAGGCCACTCCGTGAATAAGATGGACTGAAAGCCATCGAAAATTTGGAGGTTAGTATCCTTATCCTTCCAAAGTTGCCACTGATGAAAGAATTCACTAGTAACCAGGAAAAAAGTCATTTTCAATTAAGTTACTTTCTTATCATCACCATTATCGTTGATTCTCTCGCAAGACTCTCCACAACACAGAAGCTAACACTGACGACTACACAAAACTCTCTGAGAATTTTTGTCCACTAAAACACGGACATAACGTCTTAATTGTAACGTTTCTACATAAACAATTGTTATATAAACATATAAGGCAAGTGTACTTCTACATTCTAACTTATCTATATATACATTTGTATACATTTAAGGCGTTTCAACAGTGTACTTTGCTAGGTGGCGAACTAAAGTTACTTTCCGTGATGTGGAATATCCGCAGTAGGTTCTTCACCCGTATGTCATATATGTATGGAAGGGTTGCTGCTATGAGCTGACCTGTTACCAGTGTGTTTAGCCATGTTTCGGCATCGATGGATATTCCGTGTAGCAGCGTAGTCGCACTGGTCACAGATTTAGGGTTTCTCACCACCAGGTGTAGCTATGTGTAGTTGTAATGACCTCTTATGCGCAGAAGAATAGTTACACTGAACACACTTGTAGGGGTTTTCTCCTGTTTGTTTTCTCATAGGCACAGTTAGGTTATGGTCACACTCCCCACACATGTAGGGTTTGTCTCATGTATGTTTAGTCATGTGTCGGTCTAAAAGACCTTTCTGTGCAGCAGAATAGTCACACTGGTCACATTTGTAGGGTTTCTCACCTGTATGTTTTCTCATGTGCAGGGTTAGGCTAGACCTGTCAGCTGTCCTGTATCCGCACTCCCCACACATTTAGGGTTTGTCTCCGGTGTGTTTAGCCATGTGTCGGTCTAAAGGACCTTTCTGTGCAGCAGAATAGTCACACTGGTCACATTTGTAAGGTTTCTCACCTGTATGTTTTCTCATATGCAGGGACAGGTTAGGTCTAGTAGCCGTCCTAAAGCCACACTCCCCACACATGTAGGGTTTGTCTTAAGTGTGTCTATTAAGCATGTGTTGGTCTAAATGGACTTTCTGTACGGCAGAATAGTCACACTGGTCACATTTATAAGGTTTTTCCCCAGTATGTTTTCTCATATGCACGGTTAGGCAAGACCTAAAAGCTGTCCTGTATCCGCACTCCCCGCACATGTAGGGCTTGTCCCCAGTGTGTTTAGCCATGTGTGTGTCTAAATTGACTTTCTGTGAAGCAGAATAGTCGCAACGGCCACACTTGTAGGGTTTCTCTCCTGTATGTTTTCTCATATGTACAGTTAGATGGGACCTATCAGCTGTCCTGTATCCGCACTTCCCACACATGTAGGGTTTATCGCCAGTGTGTCTAAGCATGTGTTGGTCTAAACAGACTTTGTGTGCAGTAGAATAGTCACACTGGTCACATTTGTAGGGTTTCTCACCTGTGTGTTTTTTCATATGTCTATTTAAGGCAGACCTGTCAGCCGTCCTGTATCCGCACTCCCCGCACATGTAGGGTTTTTCTCCGGTGTGTTTACCCATGTGTTTGTGCACATCACTTTTCTGTGCAGCAGAATAGCCACACTGATCACATTTGTAAAGTCTTTCCCCAGTATGCTTTTTCATATGCACGGATAGGTTAGACCTGTCAGCCGTCCTGTATCCGCACTCCCCGCACATGTAGGGTTTGTCTCCAGTGTGTTTAGCCATGTGTTTGTGCACATCACTTTTCTGTGCAGCAGAATAGCCACAATGGTCACATTTGTAAAGTCTTTCCCCAGTATGCTTTTTCATATGCCTGGATAGGTGAGACCTGTCAGCCGTCCTAAATTCGCACTCCCCGCACATGTAGGGTTTGTCTCCAGTGTGTTTAGACATGTGTATGTCTAAACTGACTTTACGTGCCGCAGAATAGTAACACCGGTCACACTTGAAACGTTTGTCCACAGTACCTTTCACCACAGGCCCGTCCGTCTGCTCTGTTGGACTCTGTACGGCAGGATGGACAGAGTTTACCCCGTGCGTTTCCTCCGATAGAATGTCCCCTGCCTTGTCCTGCTGTTCTCCCGTGTCTGTTGCCGGGTCCTCGCTGCTGCTTGTCTCGTTCCCAGGGTGCACAGTTGGCAGCTCGTCCGCAGGAATCTCACTGCGTCTCTGGTCCATAATTTTCTGAAAGCAAAGATAAAATCTCTCAAATTGAATCGTCGACAACGTTTACATACTATCCGTTTCTTTGTAAGCCCAAAAATAAAACACCAGAATTTTAAGCATGGTGATATTTCCGTACTATTTATTGACAATGATACAGTCTATATGACCCCCATAGCCAGTATATTTGGAAAGAGACCAGTGATATTGGAAATTGGATATCAGATACCCTATCTGGGTCGATCTGCCCCCCTCCCCATGTATACCTTAGATAATTCACGTATCCCGATTTGAAGTATCTGCTGCGGTACCGTGACACAGCGAGTGTAGGCTGTACAAAAAGGTCTTACCTGTCTTTCAAAACTGCCCAGAGTAGGTTTAGAGCCGAAGTGAGTTGGAAATCGCCTCAGATTGGAGATAAATGACACCCTCGGACGGCTCAAAATGGCGGACAAGCGTCATCAAAGGTGACAAACAATACGGATGGGGCAAAGGTCAAAGTTGACAAACCTGATTACCCAAATCCAGGATTTTGTCGTTACGGACGTCTTGCATGATATATTGCTCTTTTCTCTCTCCCACATAGAAGCGAGGTGGATGCTGGCAGAGTTGGATCGCACGGCAACGTGGGGAAGGATGAAGTTCAAACCTAAGAAGTCTAGATGCATGGTGATAAGGAAAGGGAAGATCTCAGGAAGATTCAAGTTATACGTGCAGGGAGACCCCATCCCATCAATACAAGGCAACCCAATCAAGTGCCTGGGCAAGTGGTACGATGAAACACTTACAGACAAGAGAAATGTCCACAGTACAGTGGAACAGACCCAGGAGTGGCTAAGGAGAATAGAGAAATCAGGCCTCCCAGGGAAGTTTAAGGCGTGGCTGTACCAGAATGGGTTGTTGCCGAGATTGATGTGGCTGCTAACTGTTTACGAGATGCCACTAACGTCTGTTGCAGAGATCGAGAGGAAAATCAACAAGCATCTGAGGCGGTGGTTAGGAGTGCCGCCAAGCTTTACCGCGATAGGGCTGTATACAAAGGCAGGGCAGATGCAGCTCCCGCTGTCGTCAGTGGAGGAGGAGTACAAAGTAGCCAAATGCAGAACTGTCATGCTGTATAGGGACTCTCACGACCAGAAAGTTAGAGATGCCGGAGTCACAACTAGAGCAGGTCGGAGGTTCAAAGCTGACTCACTGGTAGACCAAGCAGAGGGAATGCTGGTGTTGCGAGACATCATCGGAATTACCAACATCGGAAGACAGGGCTTAGGTTCCACCCACTTCCAACAGTGGGGAAAGGCAAACAGAGAGGAGAGAAGGTCTCTAGTTCAGGAGGAAGTTAGGAAGCTAGAGGAAGAAAAGCGGATAGCGAAGGCAACCCAGATGGCAACACAGGGTGCGTGGACAAAGTGGAACCTTCCCAGCAAGAAAATCTCATGGGCAGATCTGTGGAATCTCGAACCTTATCGCATATCCTTCATGCTAAGATCAGTTTACGACACCTTACCTTCACCATCCAACCTATACAGATGGGGGGCTAAGAGAAGACCCAGCATGTAAACTCTGTGGGGAGAGAGGCACCATGGCCCATATACTGTCTTCATGCAAAACGGCTCTTGCCCAGGGTCGGTATCGCTGGCGCCACGACAAGGTGTTGACCGTGTTAGCATGCTCCCTAGAAGAAGCCAGGAAGAGAAAGAGACAGGGAAGCACGAGGCCGGGGTCAACAATCGCCTTTGTAAGAGAGGGGGAGAGGAGAACGATCACAGGCAGATCTAGAGAAGTAGGCAACATTCTGGAGAAGGCGAAGACATGGGAGCTCAGAGTCGACTTGGGGAGGAAGTTGCAGTTCCCCAAAGTAGTTCAGACAAAGCTACGACCAGACGCAGTGCTGTGGGCAGAAGCTGAGAAGAAGTTAGTTCTCGTCGAGCTAACTGTCCCCTGGGAAGAAAGGTGTGAAGAGGCGTACGAGAGGAAGAAGAACAAGTATCAGGAGCTCACAGATGAGTGCAGAAGTAAAGGATGGCAGGCGTGGCTGTTTCCTGTAGAAGTGGGTTGCAGGGGCTTTCCGGCCCAGTCAGTATGGAAGCTGTTCACCGCCATAGGTGTGAAAGGGAAAGAGAGAAAGGTCGCAGTTCGCAAGCTGGGTGAGGCGGCAGAGAGGTCATCCTGCTGGTTATGGAGTAGAAGAGAAGAAAGTTGCTGGAAGCCTGGCGGAGAGGATGTGCAGTGAGTTGGCCGCCACTGCTGGACCCAACAACTCGAGGGCGTCACGGTTGAGGGTCGAAACGCCCAAGGAAGGTTGCACCGTCTGATGACATCCATCTCCTCAAGCAACACAGCACTACTCCACTACATAGGTGAGCGGAGTAGATCATGGCAGCATCCTTGCTGTATTCACCAACTCTTTTCTCTGCTCTATCACTTTGAACAACTGTTTCTGCTGCATTTGCTACAATTTTAGTAGTAGATGTTCGAAGAAAAAGACTATAAAAAGATGTTTGCAAAGTGGATGTTACAATTGTGCTGATGAGTAGATATGAGATATGTGTATATATCAGCTTATTTCACAACATGAGCGAATTGAATATGAAGATGTAAATATAAAGATGTAAAGATGTACATGGGGCTAGGTAAGGTAAGGTAAGGTACAAGCAGCTTGAAATGGTTGCAGTACCTTTATTTCTTTTCGCACAATAATACAATATGTAATGTATCTAAACCTAAGTCTAAAGAACTACTTTATAATGGAAAGGACAACGTGAGCGAATTGAATACATATAGACATGTACAAGCAGTTTGAAACGGTTTCAGTACCTTTATTTCTTTTCGCACTATAATACAATATGTAATGTATCTAAACCTAAGTGTAAAAAAACTTTACAATGAGAAGGAGTGTTTTCTTCGTTCGAGTATTATGATGATTGGTTCTATCTATATTTCTTCATCGCGTACTGAATGTAACATATGTATTCCGGTAACCTGTCTACAGAATACGAGTAATGTACAAAAAAATGCGAGTAATACGAGTAATGTACAACATTATCAACACAAGTATCATATTTCTTATCTAAAGTGACAGAAAAAAACTTTAATCTTAACAAACATATCAGTCACTTTGACACGCAAGAAACATTTGAAGGGGTTTTCAAACGTACGCTCCTTTTTATGGTACGACAGCAAAAGCTGTCATCAGCAGTGTTTTCACAATTCACGGGTTTATTAAGTTTTAATGTTTAACCATATGAAGATCTAGACTAATTTTAAATGCTGGCGAATCATCAAATCTGTTTCCTTGTAACATTTGTTTTTACCTGTATCGTCGACTAAAAGGCAGTTCCAAACTAGTTTTTTGGTTTTTTTCCTCTTTGGTTACTCATATGCGTGACACAGTACATAATTTTGCCATCCGCACTACCCTAACATACGAGGTTTGTCAGCAGTGTGTTAAGCCATGTGTTTGTATAAAGTACAGCACTGAAAGTCACACTGGTCACACTGGTAAGGGTTTATCGTCAATGTTTGTAGCTATGTGTTGGTCCAAATGTCTTTTGCGTGCTGCGGAATAGTCCCACTGCTCACATCTGTATAATCAATGTCCTGTATGCTTTTTCATATGCTTGGATAGGTGAGACCTGTCAGCCGTCCTGAATCCGCACTTCTCACACATGTAGGGTTTGTCTCCTGTGTGTTTCGCAGTGTGTGTGTCTAAATGACATTTCTGTGCAGCAGAATAGTCGCACTGGTCACATTTGTACGGTTTTTCTCCTGTATGCTTTTTCAAATGCCTGGATAGGCTAGACCTGTCAGCTGTCCTAAAACCGCAATCCCCACACATGTAGGGTTTGTCTCCGGTGTGTTTAGCCATGTGCCGGGCTAAATCGCCTTTCCGTACAGCAGAATAGTCACACTGGTCACATTTGTAGGGCCTTTCTCCCGTATGTTTCTTCATATGTCTAGATAGGTTACGCCTGTCAGCTGTCCTGTATCCACACTCCCCACACATGTAGGGTTTGTCTCCGGTGTGTTTAGCCATGTGTGTGTCTAAATCGCATTTCTGGGCAGCAGAATAGTCACACTGGTCACATTTGTAGGGTTTCTCTCCTGTATGTTTTCTCATATGCGTTGATAGGTTAGGTCTATAAGCCGTCCTGTATCCGCACTCCCCACACATGTAGGGTTTGTCTCCGGTGTGTTTAGTCATGTGTCTGTCTAAATCGCCTTTCCGTGCAGAAGAATAATCGCAATCGTCACATTTGTAAGGTTTCTCTCCTGTATGTTTTTTCATGTGCAAAATAAGATGAGAATGGTCAACCGTCCTATATCCGCACTCCCCACACATGTAGGGTTTGTCTCCGGTGTGTTTGGCCATGTGTTTGTCCACATCACTTTTCTGTGCAGCGGAAAAGTCCCACTGGTCACACTTGTACGGTTTCTCACCTGTATGTTTTCTCAGATGTACAGTTAGATGGGACCTTTCAGCTGTCCTGTATCCACACTCCCCACACATGTGGGGACTTTCCCCAGTATGTGTTTTCATATGCAAGGATAGGGCAGACCTGTAAGCTGTCCTGTATCCGCACTCCTTACAAATGTAGGGTTTGTCTCCGGTGTGTTTAGCCATGTGTGTGTCCAAATTGACTTTCTGTGCAGCAGAATAGTCGCACTGGTCACATTTGTACGGTTTCTGACCTGTATGTCTTCTCATATGTACAGTTAGGCGATTCTTGTTAGCCGTCCTGTATCCACACTCCCCACACATGTAGGGTCTTTCCCCAGTATGTGTTTTCATATGCAATGATAGGGCAGACCTGTAAGCTGTCCTGTATCCGCACTCCAAACACATGTAGGGTTTGTCTCCAGTGTGTTTAGACATGTGTGTGTCCAAATTGACTTTCTGTGCAGCAGAATAGTCACATTGGTCACATTTGTACGGTTTCTCACCTGTATGTATTCTCATATGCCTGGATAGGTTACGTCTGTCAGCCGTCCTGTATCCACACTCCCCGCACATGTAGGGTTTGTCTCCGGTGTGTTTAGACATGTGTCGGTCTAAATCACGTTTCCGTGCAGCAGAATAGTCACACTGGTCACATTTGCAGGGTTTCTCTCCTGTGTGTTTTCTCATGTGAACAGTAAGATGAGAATGGTCAGTCGTCCTGTATCCGCACTCCCCATACATGTAGGGTTTGTCTCCAGTGTGTTTAGCCATGTGCTTGTCTAGATTGCTTTTATATGTAGCAGAATAGTCACATTGTTCACACTTGTATCGTTTTCCCACCTTACCTTTCACCACATGCCCGTCCGTCTGCTCTGTTTGACTCTGTACGGGAGGATGGACAGAGTTTACCCCGTACGTTTCCTCCGATAGAATGTCCTCTTCCTTGTCCTGCTGTCCTCCCGTTTGTGTTGCCGGGTCCTCGCTGCTGCTTCTCCGGTCCATAATTTTCTGACAGCAAAGACAAAATTTCCTAAATTGAAGCGTCGACAACGTAAATTACATACTATCCGTTTCTATATAAGACCAAAACTAAAAGGAATTCATGCATGATGATATATCCATACTATTTATGCCCACAGTCTATATGACCCCCATAGCCAGTATATTTGGAAAGAGACCAGTGATATTGGATATCAGATATCCTATCTGGGTCGATCCTCGCCCCCCCCCCCCCCCTCCCCCATATACACCTTAGATAATTCACGTATCCCGATTTGAAGTATCTGCCGCGGTACCGCGAAACAGCGAGTGTAGGAGGTACAAAACAGCCTTACCTGTCTTTCAAAACTGCCCAGAGTAGATTTAGATTCGAAGTGAGTTGGAAATCGCCTCAGATTGGAGAGAAATGACACCCTCGGACGGCTCAAAATGGCGGACAAGCGTCATCAAAGGTGACAAACAATACGGATGGGGCAAAGGTCAAAGTTGACAAACCTGATTACCCAAATCCAGGATTTTGTCGTTACGGACGTCTTGCATGATATATTGCTCTTTTCTCTGCTCTATCACTTTGAACAACTGTTTCTGCTGCATTTACTACAATTGTAGTAGTATATGTGCGAAGAAAAAGACTATAAAAAGATGTTTGCAAAGTGGATGTTACAATTGTGATGATGACTAGTTACGAGATATGTGTATATATCAGCTTATTTCACAACGTGAGCGAATTGAATACAAACAGATATGTACAGGCAGTTTGAAACGGTTTCAGTACCTTTATTTCGTTTCGCACTGTAATACAATATGTAAAGTATCTAAACCTAAGTCTAAAGAACTACTTTACAATGGGAAGTAGTGGGGTTTTTTTCGAGTATTAGTATTATTGATGATTAGTGCTAGTCTATCAATATTTTCTCATTGCGTACTGAATGTAACATAAGTATTCCAGTACCCTATCCACAGAATAGATGTACAACATTATCAACACAAGCATCATAACTCTTTTCATTTTTCTACAGTGACATCCAAACACTCTAACCTTAACAAACATGTCAGTCACTTTAACACACAAGTATGATTTTCTATTAAACGTACACTTCTTTTTTGTGGTTAAATCGGGCTGACCGTTAGCAGAACTGTTTCCGCCCTCCTCAGAAATGTAAGGCTTCCCATGTTTGAATGTTTATTAACGATGTGAAGTCTCTATTCTGAGAAATAATAGTATTCTCTGAAGACTATTATTTTATGCTGACGAAACTGCACAACTGTTACCAGTGTAACATTTTTCACCTGTATGTTCGGCTAAAATTGAGAAACTTCCGAACTGGTTGTGTGGTTTCTTTCCTGCATGGTTCTTCCTATGCGGGACGTTGACAGATGAGATATGTTAGCCATCCACACTACGCTCACATATTCGGTTTCTTAGCAGTGTGTTTAGCAATGTGTTTGTCAAAAGACCGCTTCTGTATAGCGGAATAGTTACAATGCTAACATCCGTATGGTCAATCTCCTGTATGTTTTTTCATATGCCTGGATAAGGTAGACCTGTCGGCCGTCCTAAATCCAAACTTCTCACACATGTAGGGTTTGTCTCCGGTGTGTTTAGCCATGTGTTTGCCTAAATCGCCTTTCTGTGCAGCAGAATATGTACAGTTAGGTGATTCTTGTTAGCCGTCCTGTATCCGCACTCCCCACACATGTAGGGAATTTTCCCCAATATGTTTTTTCATATGCTTGGAGAGGTTACCTCTATCAGCTGTCCTATATCCACACTTCTCACACAAGTAGGGTTTGTCTCCAGTGTGTTTAGTCATGTGTTTCTCTAAATCACTTCTCTCTGAAGCAGAATAGTCGCACTGGTCACATTGGTAAGGTCTTTCGCCAGTATGTTTTCTCATATGCCTGCGAAGGTTAGCCTTGGTAGTTGTCCTGTACCCACACTCCCCACACATGTTGGGCCTTTCCCCAGTATGTTTTTTCATATGCTTGGAGAGGTTGGATCTGTCAGCTGTCCTGTGTCCGCACTCCTTACACATGTAGGGTTTCTCTCCGGTGTGTTTAGCCATGTGTCGGTCCAAATCACTTTTATGTGCAGAGAAATAGTCACACTGGTCACATTTGTAAGGTTTCTCTCCTGTATGTCTTCTCATATGTACAGTTAGATGGTTCCTATCAGCAGCCATGTATCCGCACTCCCCGCACATGTGGGGAGCCTCTCCGGTGTGCTTGAACAAGTGTTTGTCCAAATGACATTTCTTTGCAGCAGAATAGTCACACTGGTGACATTTGTAGGGTTTCTCACCTGTATGTTTTCTCATATGTACTTTTAGGTTAGACCTGGATGCTGTCCTAAATCCGCACTCCCCACACATGTAGGGTTTGTCTCCTGTGTGTTTAGCCTTGTGTTGGTCTAAGTGATCTTTCAATGCAGCAGAATAGTCACACTGGTCACATTTGTAGGGTTTTTCACCAGTATGTTTTTTCATGTGCCTGGATATGTTAAAGCTGACAGCCGTCCTATATCCACACTCCCCACACATGTAGAGTTTGTCTCCAGTGTGTTTAGCCATGTGTATGTCTAAACTGACTTTTTGTGCAGCAGAATAGTCACACTGGTCGCATTTGTACGGTTTTTCACCAGTGTGTTTTCTCATATGCTTGGATATATCAGAACTGTGACACGTCCTGTAACCACACTCCCCACACATGTAGGGTTTGTCTCCAGTATGTTTAGTCATATGTCGGTCTAAATTGGTTTTCTTTGCAGCAGAATAGTCACACTGGTCACATTTGTAAGGTTTCTCTCCTGTATGTTTTCTCATATGCACGGTTAGGTGAGACCTGTGAGCTGTCCTGTATCCACACTCCCCACACAGGTAGGGTTTGTCCCCAGTGTGTTTAGCCATGTGCCGCTCTAAATGGCATTTATATGCAGTAGCATAGTCACACTGGTCACATTTGTAGGGTTTGTCCACAGTACCTTTCACCACAGGCCCGTCCGTCTGCTCTGTTTGACTCTGTACGGGAGGATGGACAGAGTTTACCCCGTACGTTTCCTCCGATAGAATGTCCTCTTCCTTGTCCTGTTGTCCTCCCGTGTCTGTTGCCGGGTCCTCGCTGCTGCTTGTCTCGTTCCCAGGGTGCACAGTTGGCAGCTCGTCCACAGGAATCTCACTGTTTCTCCGGTCCATAATTTTCTGAGAGCAAAGATAAAATTTCCCAAATTGAAACTTTGAAAACGTGTCCATACTATCCATGACCATATTCCTGTATCCCTATGAACACAATGGCCAGTATGTTCTAGTTCTAGTTCTATACAATACTAAGCAATACCCCTCGCGGGGTCTAGTGCTTAGGGAAGTGGTCGTTCCCCAGCGTGACCGGTGGTGGTGGTGAGGAAAAAAAATAAGTACAAATAATAACAAAAACAAGTGCAATGACTATATACAGAAGTCATGGCTGGGGATTGACCACATTCCTACAGCTGGGTACAGCTAGGGAAGCCATAATGACTGGCTACCCCAGCTTTGAAATGTTCAATTGACTTAGCCATTACCAGATGGTCAGGTAAGGCGTTCCATTCGATCACTGTTCGTGGGAAAAAGCTACCTCTAAAGGTATCTGTTCTACAGTGTAGTGTGTTGAAACGTAGCTGGTGCCCTCTGGTTGGGTTTGTGTTTCTTGTAAGAATGTGGTGTAGAGGAATGGATATAAGATTGTTGACTGCTTTGTAGAGGAGGCATAGACGCTGTTGTTGTCTCCGTTGCTGGAGCGTTGGCCAACCAAGTGAGTTTTGTATGGCAGTAATGCTGCTTGAGTGTTTGTAGTTACCAGACACAAACCTTGCGGCTCGTTGGGAAAGACTAGTGATTAATTACGTTAGAAAACTATGGAGCATCAGATGTCCTATCTAGGTCGATCTGCCCCCCTCCCCTCCCCATGTATACCAATAGATAATTCACGCGTCACGATTTAAAGTATCTGCTGCGGTACCGCGACACAGCGAGTGTAGGAGGTAAACAAAGGTCTTACCTGTCTTTCAGAACTGCCAAAAGTAGGTTTAGAGTCGATGTAAGTTGGAATTCGCCTCAGATTGGAGAGAAATGACACCCTCGCACGGCTCAAAATGGCGGACAAGCGTAATCAAAGGTCAAACCAAACAAATGGGTCAAAGGTCAAAGTTGAAAGACCTGATTACCCAGATCCAGGTTTATGTCCTTAGAACGTCTTCCCGGGTATTGTAATCTTGTCTTTCGGTTCAAACGACAGTTTATTCTAGGATTAAATCATTTGTGGCCGAGATTAAAGGGCCAAAAAACACGAAAAGAAGAAAAAAGATATTATATGCAGTGATAGTTTCGATATATCCGTATGTATTGGCTCATTTTTTACATGCTATTATAATATATAAGAATGTTACAACGTCAATATTTTCTATTCGTCTTTTTTTCTTCTTTTTATCTACTACACGTGTCTTAATTAAAGAATAAATCCTCGTTTTAACCGATGGACAAAATTGCAATATCCATCAAGCCGTCAAATAGCTACTAATCTGGGTAATCAGGTTTGACAACTTTAACCTTTGTCCCTGTATTCATTTGACCTGTGATTACGCTTGTCCGCCATTTTGACCCGTGCGAGGGCGTCATTTCTCTCCAATCTGAGGCCATTTCCAACTTACTTCGACTCTAAACCCACTCTGGGCAGTTTTAAAAGACAGGTAAGACCTTTGTGTACCTCCTACACTCGCTGTGTCGCGGTACCGCAGCAGATACTTCAAATCGTGACGCGTGAATTATCTAAGGCATACATGGGGAGGGGGGCACATCGACCTAGATAGGACATTTAGGGCACAGCCCACTAATTCCAGCCCCTATTGGAATATATGGAAAACATCTAAGAACTGAGCTGTCAACAATCACCTACTTGAGTGTTCAACTATTGCAAACACATATTGACAGGGTAGTCCAACTTCCAAATTGTCCATTTAGTCCAAAAATTTCACTTTTTGACCAGCGAAACCTGGCACGGCAAATGCGAACACTGGCAGCATGACCTCTGACCCCCTTGAAGACCACCAAAAGACAAGAAGATGGGATTAGTTTTAGAACCTATCAAGCAGCCAAAACAACCCTAACAGCCAGTTTTTTCAAGTTAATAGAAATAACTCTCCAGCTGGAAAATGCCACCATTTATAAACACATACCAAAAAAAAGGATGTTTTCAGTTGGTTTGGATGCGGTTATCAAAGGGGTCTCACACTGGGCCCTCTGGGCATGCGCCATTTGGTGGCCTTTGCCCTGTCAGGGGGTTCAAGTTCAAAACTGACAGATTTCAATACTTTCGCATAAACCGGGTAAGGGTTGTAAACTCTCAGCCCAAGTGTCAAAGATCTCTGATGAGAAATGGTCCCCTGGGAATACATTTGATGACAGGTGTTGGTGGCCCATTCCCTGGCCTAGGGCACTGGTCTGAGCCTATTGGTGGGGTCCATATTACTGAGATAAAAGTAAGAAAAACAGAGGAAAAAGTAAGAATTTGCTGGCCCTGGCATTAGCTGAGTACCTTTTCTCCACTAAGGCATCTAAAGGTGCATCTTAAAGATGTTAGATTTGCCTATTAAACTGTTTAAGGACAGCACATACTGCACTGTCAATAAAGGCTACAAAATCCAAGAAAAATGGTCAAAAACACTAAAATCAAAGAATAGTTTTAGCAAATCTGAGTCCAGTGAGTCACATGAAGCCTGCTCCTAACCCAAAGAACTAATTTAGGCAAATATAAGCTACAATGGTCAATCTTACCCCCCTCCCTAAAGTTCTGTCAGGGCACAGCCCACTAATTCCAGCCCCTATTGGAATATATGGAAAACATCTAAGAACTGAGCTGTCAACAATCACCTACTTGAGTGTTCAACTATTGCAAACACATATTGACAGGGTAGTCCAACTTCCAAATTGTCCATTTAGTCCAAAAATTTCACTTTTTGACCAGCGAAACCTGGCACGGCAAATGCGAACACTGGCAGCATGACCTCTCGACCCCCTTGAAGACCACAAAGACAAGAAGATGGGATTAGTTTTAGAACCTATCAAGCAGCCAAAACAACCCTAACAGCCAGTTTTTTCAAGTTAATAGAAATAGAAATAACTCTCCAGCTGGAAAATGCCACCATTTATAAACACGTACCAAAAAAAGGATGTTTTCAGTTGGTTTGGATGCGGTTATCAAGGGGGGTCTCACACTGGGCCCTCTGGGCATGCGCCATTTGGTGGCCTTTGCCCTGTTACTATCATATGTTCCAGATAGCACAAAGGATACTCATGATTTTTTTTAATGTGAAGGATTACTGGCATTTACAAACATACTGGTCAGTGTGTTCCTTGAGTTCTAAGAATATAGACATAGGTACTATGCTGTATCAAAAACCTTTTTCTCTTATCCTTCAACTTCGAATATTTTGTTTTCGTTCTAAGAAAAAAAATGATGGACCCGAGAAGCTGTGAGATTCCTGTGGACGAGCTGCCAACTGTGCACCCTGGGAACGAGACAAGCAGCAGCGAGGACCCGGCAACAGACACGGGGGACAGCAGGACAAGGAAGAGGACATTCTATCGGAGGAAACGTACGGGGTAAACTCTGTCCAACCTTCCGTACAGAGTCAAACAGAGCAGACGGACGGGCCTGTGGTGAAGGGTACTGTGGACAAACGCTACAAATGTGACCAGTGTGACTATTCTGTATCACGGAAAGGCCATTTAGACTCACACATGGCTAAACACACTGGAGACAAACCCTACATGTGCGGGGAGTGTGGATACAGGACAGCCCACAATTCTTATCTTTCTGTGCATATGAGAAAACATACAGGAGAAAAACCCTACAAATGTGACCAATGCGACTATTCTGCTGCACAGAAACTTCATTTAGACCGACACATAACTAAACATACGGGAGACAAACCCTACATGTGTGGGGAATGTGGCTTTAGGACGGCTGATAGATCTACCATAACCGTGCATATGAGAAAACATACAGGTGAGAAACCCTACAAATGTGACCAGTGTGACTATTCTGCTGCACAGAAAGTCAATTTAGACCGGCACATGGCTAAACACACCGGACAAAAACCCTACAAATGTGATCAGTGTGACTATTTTGCTACACAGAAAGTCAATTTAGACAAACACATGGCTAAACACACTGGAGACAAACCCTACATGTGTGGGGAGTGCGGATTCAGGACAGGATACAGGTCTGCCCTATCCAAGCATATGAAAAAGCACACTGGGGAAAGACCCTACAAATGTGACCAGTGTGACTATTCTACTGCACATAAAAGCAATTTAGACAAACACGTGGCTAAACATACCGGAGATAAACCCCACATGTGTGGGGAGTGCGGTTTTAGGACGGCTGACAGGTCTAGCCTATCCAGGCATATGAAAAAGCATACAGGAGAAAAACCCTACAAGTGTGACCGGTGTGACTATTCTGCTGCAACAAAAAGGCGATTTAGACAAACACATGGCTAAACACACTGGAGACAAACCCTACATGTGTGGGGAGTGTGGATACAGAACGGCTGACAGACGTAACCTATCCAGGCACATGAGAAAACATACTGGGGAAAAACCCTACAAATGTGACCACTGTGACTATTCTGCTGCACAGAAAGTTCAGTTAGACCGACACATGACTAAACATACATGAGACAAACCCCACATGTGCGGGGAGTGTGGCTTTAGGACGGCTCATAGATCTGTGCTGAGAAAAACCCTACAAATGTGATCAGTGTAACTATTCTTCTGCGCATAAGAGGTCTTTACAACTACACATAGCTACGCATGGTGGTGAGAAACCCTAAATCTGTGACCAGTGCGACTACGCTGCTACACGGAATATCCATTGGTGCCGAAACATGGCTAAACACACTGGTAACAGGTCAGCTCGGAGCAGCAACCCTTCCATACATATGGGAAGGCATACGGGTAAAAAAAAAACTACAAGTGTGACCACTGCGGATATTCCACATCACGGAAAGTAACTTTAGTTCGCCACCTAGCAAAGTGCACTGGTGAAACACCTTAAATCTATACAGATGTATATATAGCTAAGTTAGAATGCAGAAGTTCCCACCATGTCTTAGTTGGCTAGTATTGTTAGAGGGTTTTGTGTAGAGGCCAGTGTTAGCTTCTGTGCTGTGGCGAGTCTATCTTGCGCGAGAACTAACGATAATGACGTATAATTAACCTATAAAAAGTGCCATACTCATAAAGTTGTTTTGTATTTTTTTTGTTCTTGTTGTTCGTTGTTTATTCTATTCCTTTAGTACTATATCGTATTGTGTTACGTAG